GAAATGCAGGGAAGCAGGCTTCAGCATGGTGCTGAGCACCAGTCCCTGCCACCGTGTCCTTCTGGTTATCAAAAATGCCTGTGCCACCTTTATTCCATAGTTAATCCCTCTTTAGGCAAGATAACTCAAAGTCCCAGTCTTTCAAGGCCTTCAGCTCCAAGTGATACATGTCATCTCAACATCAGACCCAGACATTGCTCCTTTGGTCCAGAAATATTGGAAGTAAAATGACCAAGTTATCCGGCCTCCCTCGTCCCTTCCCCTGCCCCCATTTCCTAGATGTGGTGGTCAGACAGGGCCAGGGTAACCACAATAAACAGTCCCATTTGGGAAATTGAAAAAGGAAGTTATTGCTTATTTGTAATTTGAAATTCCCTCGGTCAGACATTGCGAGTGTCTCTTGCCCTGGGGTTGAGGAATATTCCTTGATTAGCCCCTGAATCTGATCTCTGCAAGGAACACCTTGTCCACTGTTCTCTGTAGTACCTGGCTCCACTCCTTGAATATATCTGAAGTAGGTATTAGAAAATATGTTCTCTTTAGGGGCTTCTCAGCTTTCTATCTGTATAAGATTGAGGGTCAAGTGTCAATTTAAGGCAGCCCTTCTCAACCTGGGTACTATTGATATTTTGGGTGAATAAATTCTCTTGAGGGACTGTCCTGTGCATTGTGGAATGATTAGCAGCATTCATGGCCTCTACCCACTAGATGCCAGTAGTACTCCCCAATTGTGACAACCAAAAATGTCTCTAGACAGTGCCAAATGTCCTTGGGGGCACAATTTCCCTGAATTGAGAACCAGTCTTAAGGCTAGAGCAGCCACAGACTTATGAAGGTTTTTTTTTGATAGTATAACTCTCAGAAACTTATGAGTCTTTTTATCTTTTTTAATTACAGTTCTTTTCCAAGCACATTTGTTAGCTTGCTGGACATAATGTCTAACTTTAAGCTTTCAGCCTTCTGTTAGCAAGTCTGAAGCAGTTTCATCACTTGAAAGATTTTACAAGTCTTTCTGTCAAGGATTTTTAGAATTATGTGAAAATGATGCTTCAGAAAGTAATCCAAGGTATCAGTGGCTTAAAGCAGCATTTACTGCTTGCTCAGGTCTGCAAGTTGGCTGTGCAGCACTGCTCCAGATCTCGGGTCAGTTCAGGGTTTTTCCACAGTCAGGTTTCATTGTCGAGGCCAGCGATTTTCACCCGGTGAGCACAAGAGTGTGTAAAACATGCTACACCTGACTATTTAGTCAAGGGCACTGACCTCTTTTTCTCTTAGACTGTCAGGTAAAAGAATGACACCAGCCAACACAATGATAGCTGTCCAGTGTGAAATCAAAATTATATATTTTTTTTTCTGTCAGGCCTGCCAAAAATATATTTTTGGTGTGCTACAGAATTTTAGTTAATAGTTTATGTTTGTCATGAGATGAAAGGTTTGAAAATCGCTGGTCTTAAGGAGTGCCTTCCCCTGGGCTCACCCTTTCCTCATGGCGAAAGGAGGAAGAGCAGGAGCCACGCTGCGCCACGAGCATGCCCACAGCTCACCCGCAGAGTCGGGGCGTGGCGCACTCCCTTCCCTTCCCTTGACTGGAACAGGTCGTCCGACTAGGCCCATCGGTAAGGTGAAGAGGCTTGGTGGGTCAGGAGGAGGAGATACTTGCTGAACACGCTGCCTTTTTCTTAAGTGTCTAGTAGCTTTTAGCTTTCACAGAATGGCAAGGCCCTGAAATTATAAACTCTGTTCCCTTTCATTTCTACTTTTAAAGTGCTCAGCTCTTTCAGATGCATCCAGTGGCCACCAACACACACCACTGTAGTTTTACTTTTCAATCGCTTCTGGAGTGGCCCAGCATACTTGCTCTGTAAAGGCAAGACCAGTAGTATTTCAGGCTTTACAGATGATACAGTGTGTTATAGCTACTCAGCTTTGCTGTTGTAACACAAAAATAGCCATAGACAATAGGCACCCATGAGTGCGGCTGTGTTCCAGAACACTTTCTTACTTTGCCAACCCCTAGGCTAGAGCTTCAACTTCATTATGCAGGGCTGTGCCTTCCAAGACCTTGCAGGGGACAGTGTCTTCAAAGGTATTGCTTCTGTATAACCTGGATCGCTTTTCCAGCTGTGATGCTAGTTTCCATGCTGCCTGCTGTTCAGCTGCTAACTGGTGATCCTGTGTGTATGTAAGAATTGCACCCCACTCCTGGCACCATTCTCTGTTACCAAAATAAGCTAGTGAGAAGGAAGAGCAGTGCTCTGTGTACTTCACTACAGTACCACTTCTGGCAGCGCCCGTGGGCTAGTTTTTCCCACCAAACAACTCTCAGGTTGTCTGGACTTCGATGGTATCCTACAATTTAACTCAGTTTTGACACTTTCTACCTGGAGACAGCATCAGATCCCACAGGTTAAAGGCTCATCCCCATAAGACTGCCCAAGGTGTTACTCTGATTCAGAGGTCCCTATGACTTCCTACTCAGGTTCAGTTTATTTGCCAGAGGTAGTCACAGAACTCAGGAAAACATTTTACTTAGTAGACTACCAGTTTTTTTACAAATGACATTACTCAGGAAAAGCAAAGTGGAGAGATGCATAGGGCAAGGTATGTGGGGAGGGGTGTGCCACTCCCCAAATCTTCACACGTTCACCAAGCCAGAATCTCACCAAATCCTGTCCTTTGGGTTTTATTGAGTCTTCATTGCCTCCATAGGCAATGATTAAATCATTGACCATTGGTGATTGAACTTAATCTCTAGCTGAGGTCTAGGTGTGGGGCTGAAAGTTCCAACCTCAAATCACAGTGTTGGTTTCCTTGGCAACCAGCCCCCATCCTTTTGGGCTTTCCAAGTCACTTCATTAACATAAACTCAGGGACAGTGAAAAGTTTTTATAAATAACAAAAACACTTTTTTCACCTTTCTTGCTCTTATCACTTGAACTTCTTGCCCTGGCTGGTGTGGCTAGTGGTTGAGTGTTGTCCTGTGCACCAAAGTGTCCTCAGTTTGATTCCCCGTTGGGGCTTATACCCAAGTTGTGGGTTCGATCCCAGGTCAGGGGGGTGATGCAGGAGAGAGCTGATCAATGTTTCTCTGTCTCCCTCTCCCTTTCTCTATCTCAAAAAAAAAAAATATATATATATATATAAAAATATATTTTTTTAAAAGAGAGAATTCTAAGATTTTTAGGAACTCTGTCTCAGTGATTGAGACAAAGACCAACTATATGTTAATTATAAGTCACAATGGCACAACTAGGCTGTGCTATGTAACAAAACCTGAATTCTCAGTGGCTTAACAACTAAGGTTTATTTCCCACTTTGCATGTCCAATGCAGGTCATGATGGGTGAGGACTCTGCTTTACCTAGACACTCGGCAACCCATACTGACAGAGAGTCCACTATCTGGAATGTTACTAGTCGCCAAAGCAGGGAAGCGACAAGATACCCTTCTGCTTGCTCCCACTTACATCCCATTTCCTAGAACTGGTCACCTTAGACCTGCCTGACCTACCTAATTGTGAGGAGGCTAGAAATTCTGCAGGAGAGAAGGGGGAATATTGTTAGGTTAGTTCCACTGTGTCTGCCACAAATTCATACAAATTCAGTTCTTCTCATGTGGGTCTAACATCTGTAGAAAGGGACATATATGGGTAGATTTCAGGTAATATTCTTTGAGGTGCTTTTGGACAGTTTTTTAAGTTTTTTCTCCAACAAATCTATTTTTTAAAGTGTATTTTGCTCTTAATTTTCCAAAATAAAGTATTTGAAGTTCGAATCTTATTTCTAGATGAGAATGCAGTAGTATAAAGAGCCATTGATCTTAAACCATCACCAGACATTGAAATGGTATAAAGCTTGTAATCTTTATTCTTGAACATGTAGTGTTATTTTGCTGAGGAACTGTATTTTGGAAATAGTGGCAACATTATATTTACAGAATAGCAATAATGGAAATTTTCACCTGTTTCCTTAAGCCTGTTGATCTTTATTTTTAATTTAATAAAGCCCTTGGGTTATATATCTTCTAAAACCATCTGTGATTGCCTATGAAAATAAGCTAACGACAGCATACAGTTTTTCCTGGATAGAGACTCTGAAAAAGTAACCATTGCTTTCCATTCAGGCTGCCAGTACCAGTAATGGAATGTGTTTGTGTAGTGGATAGGTGCTTGCTTGCTTTAGTATCCTGGTTTATAATAGGTTTCATGGGAGCTAACAAGCAAAATGTGTTGAACTTGAAGCCATGACTATTTATGCCGCTGCCTTCCTTTTAATAATCATAGCATGGAATTCCTTAAGGTTGGGGTCAGGTGGAAAATTCTTCACAAAGACATTATTTAGTAGCATTAATAGCAAGTAATTTTGTAGATTAGTGGCTCCAAGACAATGCAGTCCTACCTCTGAACAGACAAAAATTTAATGAACAAATTTGTGTGATTTGGGGTGGGAAATCAGTGGTGGAAAGAGTGCTAATGACTATTTCAGTCCGTTAGACTTGGACATCTGCGAGTTTGAAATGTCAACTGACACTTGCTTGGATTGACATAGAGTGGCCCATTGTTGATTTGTAATATCTATGTAAAGTTCATTGTGTCTTTAAAATTAGTTTTTTAAATGCTGGTAATTTAGTATACAAGTGACTATAATGCTAACTTACAATTCTTTCTTTTACCATACTAGTTTTATGTGAGCTTCTAGATGCCTTTCCAAATTGCTTTTATACCACTTGATTGAAAATTACAGCTAATCATAATTTCTAGCAAATAAAACATTACTAAATTCTCTAATTACTGTATGTATTCATAAATTAAAATACCATCGAGCTAATTCCTCAAACTTGCCTGTTATGATGAATCTGTGCAGTAATATCAGTTATGGTGAGAGAAACAATTAGCATAAATTGTGTTTACTAGCATAAATAGTTTTACAAGTGATAACTTGTGAATTGCAAAATATCTGTATATGTCATAGCAGTCATTGTTATTTTTTTTATTTCTTGAAGGACTTAAAGCCGAGTAATATAGTAGTAAAATCAGACTGCACTTTGAAGATTCTTGACTTTGGACTGGCCAGGACTGCAGGAACTAGTTTTATGATGACACCTTACGTAGTGACTCGCTACTACAGAGCACCTGAAGTCATCCTAGGGATGGGCTACAAAGAAAACGGTCAGCAAACACATTTACTTGAAATACTGTTGTTTTATCAGCTATCTTATGTTAATATTTAAGCTGAAGTGCTTAGTTAAATATGTCACTGTTAGAAATGTTTTATCAAGAGATTGAAAGTAACTATAAATTTTGTCATATATGTTTGGAAAAACTTAGGGCTTCTGTTTATTTAAATACAAATACGTAACCATCAATACTACCTTCGACAAAGAATTTGTTTCCATGGCCTCTGAAATTTGCTTTCCTGTAACTTGAAAATGAGTATTTCTAACATGGGCTCAAGGAAGTATATATATAGTGGACTGACAGTTTATCTTCTGTAGGAATCCTAGTTTGCCGTTAGTGATATTTTGTATCCATTTCCAACCCCCTGAAACTAGTTACTAGTAGTAGCAATTAGTGTAAACTTGAAGAGCTAGGATGAAGTCATCTGCAAAGTTGATGGATAATTAAGGTGACCTTTTGTAGGAAAGGGTGTTTCATCAAAGCCGTGTCCAGCCTTAAAGAAACGGCAGCATTATGTGGGGTGTATTCAGTTACATAGATCAGCATTAGAAGCAAGGTTGAGGAAAATTATCAGGCATGTACCTCATGAATTTAAAAAAAATTGGACATATACATATATTTAATTTTAGAAGAAATTTTGTTGACTCTCAGGAGGTGAATAAGTCTGCACAGGACTTTATTGACTTAAATTATAACTTTTTTAATGTGGTAACTTCATCCAAAATACTCCCTAGAATAGGGCCTGGACTTTTTTCTAGCAAGGAATCTGGAGCAGCAGTTACCTTTGAATTAAGAAACTGTATTAAGTCAATCATCTTGATTCATTTTTATAAAAGATAGCATTGAACTGAGATTTTGGCTTAATTTCCTTTTCTGAGCTAATTAAAGCAAATACTTTAAACATTTACTATTATTCTTTTGTTCTTAAATAAGCAGACTGTGTTGTTTTCTTACTGTCCACCTAAAATTGTCTTAACACCCTGTAGAATCTAGTGAGTTAGATTTTAGTATTAGATTCACTGGGGTTTTGTTACTGTTTTTTGGATGGTTTTTTGGGAGGGAGGGATGGGATTGATACACGTGACCAACATGAAGGTTGCTTTTGCTTTTGCTGTAGAACCATTTAGATTGTCTCAGAAACTGTAATGTGTCACTCAGTGTCCTATAAATGTGATTTGGGGAGAGTGCTCTCTCCAGAAATCAGCACCAAGAAAAAATATCATATAAAGAATTGGCATGCTTTCCTATCTTAGATAAGAATTATGTAGATGACCTTGTTGCCTGCCCTTCTTTTTTTTTTGGTTTGGGAAACTGAGTCAGATGTAATGCTTAATTAATACAATAACTACATTTAGCCATCAAGGTTAAACATAAGAATTGCCTCTTTTAACAACTTTTCCCCTTTTTTTGCCTTTTATTGCAAGCTACTGCAAAGCTTTTTGGGAAGTATTATACAGTGGAATATATTTAAACTGCCTAATAGACTAAGCAATTAGACCTGTTAAAGCTACATTTTTAGGCTTATGTTCTGAAAAAGTCTTAACTGGCCATGAGCTGCTCCCATGCTTGCAGCTTTGAGATCTGTTTAAAAATATGTTTATGTGTTTTCTTAAAGTTTCCTTCATAACTTGTGTCCTGGATATTTAAGGGAAGTTCGCCATTCTCTATAAAATATATAGGGAAAATTTATTATAATTTATTTTTACCAAAAATGAAAACCCTGGAAAAAATTTTCTCTGATTTCTGAATATTAACTTTAAAATTTTATCTTTGAAAGTTGAATTGTGCCATAAATATAAAAGCATTTGCCTTTATTTTAATATTAAATTTTAGAGAAACTTTAATTCCAAAGGATTTCCAAAATTTATTTCCAGTTTAGCTTCTACAAGTCTATGATGAACTGGAAGTCTCCTTATAAGAATGTGTTAGAAAGTAGGCCCTTCAACATGGGTAAAGGGTGCATCTCTCTCTAACATCAATTCCTGCCTCTTTTGCCCTTAAAGAATTTAGACCTTCAAGCTTAAAAAACAAATTCAAGTTTCTAAGGCTTTCCTTTTAAATTGCTCAGTCTTTCCCTCTTCTGTTAAACTGCAAACACCTACTCTCCTCTTTTTATCTTATTTTCAAACCCAAGGATATAAAATGTCAGGGTGTATTGTCAGTTTTAATGAAACAGGTGGAGATCCTCAAATTGCCCATTTCTGTGTCTAGCAGATTTTTTTCAGCATTGAAGTGGGAACTTTCATAGGTATTCGGCCAAACCTAACATCTTAAATCAGAAGCAGTTTAATTTTATGGGTTTAAGACTTTAGCTGGAAATCATTATATATACTGTTTTTACTGAGTTTTCTTACTTGATCACTTGTTCATTCCCCATGTGCTTGTTCCTGGCGGAATAGGAGGGTAGATGCAGCACAGCATTGCCAAGGAAACAAACGACTTTCAGTTCAGATTAAACTTATAAGCAAAGCACTTACTCAAATATAAATGTATAAAATCAGTTTGAAAATATCTAAAGGGCTTTAGATTAATGTTTTAACTGTAATTATTCATAGAAATATATGTTTTCTGTTAAATATTTAACATACTAGATTATTTCTGCTCATGCTTTTTTTTTATTTGACTTAAAGAGAGAGCATAATGCACAGTTGAACCTCAAAATAGTGTCAGGATTTTATTTTCTTAATTTTGCTACCTCGTACTTTTTCAACCTTATTTACAAAGTTTGTGTTCCGTTCTATTTTATATTTTATAAACAAATTTCAGTGACAGAATGTATAGGAGTTTTATTCATGTGATTTCTGTGCATAGCTCTCACTTTAAAATTAGATATATGGTTAAAAGGCCACACTTCACGCGTGCTTTTGTGAATGAAAGCCTTTTGAAAAATATTTTGTGTTTTAAATTATTCCATTAGCTAAAATTAAAATCACTCTTTCTTTTTGTGGTGTTTTGTAGTTTTTGTATAATGCAGTCATATTATGCTTCTTTGATTTTAACGACCTTTTGCTTTGCTTTTCCTTCTTTTGTGCTGCAAACATATAGTGGATTTATGGTCTGTGGGGTGCATTATGGGAGAAATGGTTTGCCACAAAATCCTCTTTCCAGGAAGGGACTGTATCCTTGTGCTGCTGCAGCAGTGAAATCAGTTAGGTGGTGGATTTCTTATGTTCTAACGAAGATGAGTTTGGTTCATTCGTACATGGGGGTTTTTAAACAGACAAAGTTTGTGGCTGTTGTACTTCAACACCTGTTGAGATGAGACGCTGAAATGCTCGTAGGCTGCATCTGGCAGCAGGACATACAGTCTCTGCTGGTAGTTAGAGCACATTCACTGTCACTCATCTTTATTTTATACTGCTTTCTATGATTTTAAAGTATACATGGTGTGTGTGATTTCTTTTAATGTTTATATAATTTTTTTTTAATTTTTAACCAAAATCTTTATGTTAATGTCATTGCATTTTGTTTTCAGTTGACATTTGGTCAGTTGGGTGCATCATGGGAGAAATGATCAAAGGTGGTGTTTTGTTCCCAGGTACAGATCGTATCCTTATCTTTGGCCTAAAATGTAGTTTCTAAAGGTCAAAATGTATGACAGCACATCAGCTAGGTCAAGTATGATGTATTTTGTCTCTCCCTAATAATATTGTTAAATTATTCTATTCTCAAAATACCACCTACTATTTGACATAGACTTTCCTTTCCCTCACTTATTGATTGTGTCATATGTTATTTCTGAGAACTGCTCAAGTTAATTATCCACAATTACTTGCTGGCTTTGAGTTGATTTATTTAATCTAAATCAAAAATCATGGCTTGAGTTAAAAGTTTCTGATAATCATGCACTTGATCAAGTCTGGAAGAGCCCAGGACTTGACTGGTTTTGGAATCGCCTGTGGCCTCTGGTCATCCTTTTGTGTGTGTGTGTGTGTCCCCCTTCTTCATTAATGTTCTTTGTGTTTTGTGTCTTTGGGTTATTGTCTCATTTCTTGACATAACATATTGATCTTTTCATCTGAGAACTTCAGCAGTAACAGTTTTATTATGGTGTAAATAGATTTGGATTCATGGTTTTTGTTCATCTGACTACTTTTAATACGGATCTCACCAGTGAGTGATGTGTTACATGTTTATCAGCCAATAACACTGAGGTTGACTTCAAGGAGGAGGCAGGGAAAGCCATGTGCATGGGCTACAGCAGGAGCTTTTGTTCTTAGTTTGCGAGGAGGACTGGGAGTGCAAAGACAGGAGAAAGGAGACTAGGGAGTTCTAACCTCACAGCTTACCAAACACTGGTTCATTTTCACAGGTTTCAGAGCTTTAAAACAGATTTTATTAACATAAGCTCAACAAAGCATGGCAAAAGAAAATGCAACTTTTATCAAATCCATCATTTTTATTTTCTGTTAAGTGTAGAAAATTTTTTAAAAAGCCAGGACAGATTATAAGAAATATTTCTTAGCCTCTAGAATATGAAATTCACATTTTCTGATAAGCCAGAAGAAAAGGCAAATTTTGTATTCTAGAATTGTGTGTAGTTTACATTTAGAGTCCCTGTGGGTAGTAATTACCGTTTTCTTTGAGTCACTTGTCATTTGTATTTGGAATTTGTTAGTTTATGCTTTCATTTTTTTATAATATGTTTCTATTGATTTTTCAGAAAGAGAGGAAGGGAGAAGGGAGAGAGAGCTACTCACATAGATGAAAGAGAAACATCAGTTGGCTGCCTCCTGCACACACACCCTGCTGGGGATCTAGCCTGCAACCCAGGCATGTGCCCTGACCGGGAATCAAACTGGCAACCTCTTGGTGCATGGGACAGTGCCCAACCAACTGAACCACGCTGGCTGGGCTAAGCTTTCATTTTTATGATAAAATCAATATTAGACACACACACATTATCTAAATAAGGTTAATAGTGCTTGTTTATTGACCCTTTTTGTCCACCTTTTGCAGGGTGGCTGTAAGATACAAGATTTATAACTGCCACATTCTTTCTTAGGATTTTATAATTGTTATTTTCTTGTTATTTGAGTATGGCTGTGACTAATGTGTTGAACATTAGATACGGAGTATTTTTCTTAGCTCCTTGATATTAGATATTGATCAGTGGAATAAAGTTATTGAACAGCTTGGAACACCGTGTCCTGAATTCATGAAGAAACTACAACCAACAGTAAGGACTTACGTTGAGAACAGACCTAAATACGCTGGCTACAGCTTCGAGAAACTCTTTCCTGATGTGCTGTTCCCTGCTGACTCAGAACACAACAAACTTAAAGGTACTTTTTATAAATATATATATTTAATCCCATTGGTGTGTGTGTGTTTTCATGTTATAATGGAACATAGCACAAGGTTATTTCTGGGTGGTGGAACAAAGTAAGGTTTTAGTTATTTTTTTTCTGTATCTTTATATTTTTTCATCATATGTATGACCTGATTTTATAGTAAAATCTATTTTTAAAAAAATATATATTTTTTAATAAATGATTTTAAGTTTCTAAAATGTATTGCTAATTTTAAAACCTTTATGAGATACATGTACATTAACATCATTATTTTTGCAGCCAGTCAGGCGAGGGATTTATTATCCAAAATGCTGGTGATTGACGCATCCAAAAGGATCTCTGTAGATGAGGCCCTCCAGCACCCATACATCAACGTCTGGTACGACCCCTCTGAGGCAGAGGCTGTAAGTTCTTCTCTTGGTGTTTGAAGAAGATATTGCCCCTTACAGTTAGAACTAAAGTGAGGTTTGGAGGAGACACTGTAATTTTAAATAAAAATATAGGTAAATGATGGTGATGTTTTTCTGTTTTGCATTAAAAGTGCTTTAAGTTAATGAGCATATCCAAGCACCTCCTACACAAAATAAAGTTACCCTCTCAGTTTCTTGCCATCTGGCCTTGACACCTGAGCTGATGAGCTAGAACACTGAATGCTTTGGGAGGACATCCTAACTTGGTTATAAAACAAATTATCATGTCCAAAGCATAGCCCAGATCTATGACAGAAATGTGAACATTTTAAAAGCTGGAAGAAAAGAAAAAGGTAGGTGAACGCCTTTTTCCTGTCATGAAGAAGTCTTCTCAAACGAGTCTCTGCATAGAAGAGGGCTCATGAACCTCGGTGTAATAATGTATTTCTACAACCCTTTCTGTCTGGCTGATATTTCGAATAATTATGACAAATTTGTGCACTCCGGTAAACTAACTCATTTATTGTTGTCTTTTGTTTTTCAGCCACCACCAAAGATACCTGACAAGCAGTTAGATGAGCGGGAGCACACGATAGAAGAGTGGAAAGGTAGTATTCCCAGGGCCTTAGGATGGAGCTGAGAGAGCTTCTAGCTTCTTGTGTTGATTTAGTCACCATGTTGAAGAAACTAAAGATATTTTGTATTATTCATAATTCATATTTGCTAATACGAGTATTAATATTTTTTTGCAAAAATAGAAAGTAAGTCTCCTTCCCTCCCTGATTAAGTTCTAATCTCGCACATCCCCCAACCCAGACACAGAAACATTAGTTCTTTCTGGAATGTTCTGTTCTTCCATAGCCTACAAATACAAAGCCTGTGTATTTGATGTCTCCCCCTTCTCCTCTGCCACCCTGTTTTAATCCCAAATGGTTGTAGGATGTGCACACTTGCTTTGTTGGTGTAAGCACATCACATAGAGATTATATTCTCATGCACCACATTTCTGGCTCACTGACATATAGTGTCCAGCTGTGTCACAATTTCTGTATCCAGCTCCCACTGGAAGAGTACTTAAGTTGTGTCCTGTCTTCTGTTATTGCAACAACTGCAGTGTTCTGTGCACATGTGAGAACATGCCAATTAAAAAAGCCCTACAAGATTTGCTGGGCCAAAGGATGTTTTTCAATTATTTCCAGATTACTCTTGAAAGAAATTGTAGCAGTTTACATTTCCATCAGCATGGTATAGGAGTGTCTATTTTACCCCCACCCTCACCAACAGAGTGAGTTAATTTGTAATCTTTGCAAATCTAATATTGTAGTTTTATTTTATGAAGGTGGTTGAACATAATAATGCTTTGATAGTTGTGGAAATACTTTTTCTTTAAAAGATTCCCTGTGATGCACTGGCTCAGTTGTTAGAGCATAGGCCCACATAGCAAATGGTCATGGATTTAATTCCCTATCAAGGGCATGTACCTAGGTTGTAGGTTCAATCCCCAGCCCTACTTGGGCTGCCTGCAGGAGGCAGCCAATCAGTGTGTGTCTCTCACATCAATGTTTCTTTCTATCTCTCTCTGTCTATTTCTCTCTATCTCTTTCCCCCTCTCTCCCCTTCCCCTTCTCCCCCTCTCCCTCCCTCTCTC